GCTCAGTTGGTGATGCAGCGAACCAAGCTTTCTTTCTGGCTTAGCGGGACAAAACTGTAGAAATTTGTGCATTGTCCTGTCCATGTTTTCTTGCGAAATACACTCCTACTAATTGTTCCGTCCGGCATTCGTTTATGGAGGACGTCCAGAAAGGGGAGGTACTCTCCGTTCTCTTTTTCCAAAGTGGAGATTAGCGCTCGTCGAGCCTGATTCACTTTACACAGAAGAGTGTTATAATCAAGCTTTTTTCAGTTTTTGCGAAAATTTCATCAACATTTCGAGCATAAGGAAAAAAAATCGTTTTTATTGTACTGAGCTGGGATTTCCCTGAAGACATCAGCCAGTATCGATCTAAAGGGTAAACCTATTGGTACGCCATCGATTAGGCGGCAAAATTGACCATTTAATCTGAATTTGACATTTACCTTGCAAAGAATGAGCAATTCCTCCAGGTCTCTGACCGGCATTCCGACTGGGAAATCCAGTTTTACAATATCGTCACATAAAAATTATATCGTTTCGGTGAGAGGAATGTTAGTGAACACAGACGTGACGTCTAGGGACGGCATCGTTTTCCCATAAAGATTTGCGTGTTCTAGAGAATTGACGAATACAAATGTGTCCCGTACACTGTGTGCCGCTATTCTGTGTCGAGTCGTGTTAAATCTTTCTGCTCGCCATTTAGCAACTGTTTGACGGGGGAATCACCCATGTCTAATATCGATCGCATCGGAGGGCCTGGTTTATGAATCTTTGGCAAACCATATAGCCTTAGAGATATTGCGCCCCCTGGGTTTTAGAGCTCCAAAATCTTGGTCACTAAGAAAAACTTGATCTTTAAATTTCCACAAACATTTTGTAGGTTTGACTTCTCTATCCTCTGTTTGGCCATTATTTTGCCTCTCTCACTTTCGAACCTCGCGTCATCAGCCTGAGTCGATCCCATTGTCGAAATGAAAGCAGTTGTATTACCCAGAACGAGCACATAAACTTTTCCAGTTGGGTAACGAGTATTTTCTCTTTTTAACTTAATTGTTTGAGTTTCTCCAGATGTGATTTCCTGATATGCCTGATTCTTAGTGGCAAATAAGTTGCAGTAGATTGAGGGGCAAGTAAGACCAGATGTGCCAGTCATGCAGTCGGGCATCACCCTGTCTTTGTTAAACCAGGTGACAACATCTGGAGAAGGTCGCCCAGCCTTGCTACTTTTCCACTAACAAATTCAACATCCTCCTTCCGCTTACTTCACTTTTAATGCCCACATTTCGCTTACACTTCGGACTATGACAGCGTAACCGACTCCTACCCAGATATCAGTTCGCAAACTTACCGTCTCTTGTTGGGTTATAACTAAGCATAATGTGTCTTGTATCTGTAATACATCACGTAATGTTCTCAACAGCGTTTGCCTCAAAAATCATCCGTTCGTTTTTATAAAATAAGCAGTTCTGTATAGCCGGTTACTTATAAAAGTACAATTATTGGCTACTGGAGCTTCTAAGCAAATTTGTTGTTTTCGCGCTCACTACTCCGTGTCGGCTTTTGGAGGAAGGTGCCTAAGGGTACTCCACCGTGATGGAGCAGTTATTTTAACTCCCCTAGACAATGTTTGGCATCCAGCCTGGAGAATGACTTGGAGCTTTTAGGGCGGGTAATTGAGAAGAAGGTAAGGGGCGGTTGTGAACCGCTGAGCGAGGGAAGTTAGTGCACATCTGAATGAGCGTAAGTGAGCTGAAGTTCTCATTGGTCGTGAGTGTAGGTGCAAGGGCAACAGCCTTGTCAACAAGCGAATGATGTCAGGCGCATAAGGTGCAGTCGCGGGCACACAGCAGAATCGATGCACATACGCGCGCAGCGTGGTACAGATCCTACTTTTAGGCAGTACTAAGTAGGTTTTCCACGCGTCTATGCCAGTTACATCTCCACCTACTCCGCATATAAATAGCATTAGCAACTGTCTGCCCGATAAGATCGAAATATGAGTAATGCGCCAACCCCAAGAACTCACAAAAGTCAGCACGCTGAGGACAGCCTGTATTCTGAGACCAAAACAAATACCAGCAGCATGCAGTTTTCAAAGGCATCTTGAGAGAGGTAATTAAAAGGTCTTTGCGCATTACAAAGCCGTCGATCCCGCTTCCTTCAGTCTATCACCGCAGCCAGACGCAGTTTAGATATTCTGGAATGCGCGCAAAACCGCTGACCGTCTTGTGCGCACCTGGAGTAACCTTGGGGCAACCACTAAGAAAATTAATATCAATGAACCCTCTGATGCGGAGGTGGTAGTAAGATAGAGGGTTTGTAGATGACGGGAGCGGAAACAGTGCCCGCAGATGACATTTACGCATTTTCTTGCTCGACTTAAACAATGCGCAGCTGATATGGGAACAAGCCAAACGACTGTAAATGGATGGTAAGGAATATGCGGTAGTGCTAGCGTCACGGCCTTTCTTGTAGAACCCCAGCTTAAGAGATCATGATATCGTAGTGTAGGCAGCTGAGGAGGAAAGGGAAAGCATTTGCCGTGTTCAATACATGGCAGAGTGAGGCCTCTTCGAGCATGCGAACGACAGAGCTCCTCTCTGTTCGTGACTAAAAGCTGTTATCAAAAAGTGCGTTTCAAGGGACAGTTCTGTCGTAACAGAGGATCGAAAACGATATGCCCGCCTACCGTGGGAAGAGCAGGAAGACTACACAGACGGCGTCCTAACACAATTGAGGCCTACTTCAGTCACCTGAAACGTGATCTGCGTGACAGTGGGCTGGTGCCAGGTCAGACGGTGGGGACCTGGTCGACAGGACAGATGACCCCTCCCCCCAGCGACCCGGAGAACAAATGACACCGCAGACAGCTGCCAAAGAATCATCACAGTAGATTGAAACGCCTAAGAAAACCGACAGCTGAGGGCTAAAAAACTGCCGAAAGACTCGGGCGGCTCTCAGACGATTTATTGGTAGATAGATATTCTGGCTAACCATTTTTCCGGCCCCAGAACGTTCTTTGCATTACTGTCTACACGTGAAGAGATGTGTTCACTGGGAAGGACTGATCATAGTCATGCGCCCAGCTGTCCTAATATGGCATACTTCGTTTGATGCTTGGGTTGCTAATGCCGCCTGCGTAGGTGCATCCGACCTTGATATGACCGCCTACCGTGTGAGGCGCATGAAGACTAGACCCGACGACACCACTGCATCCTAACACCATTTTGGCCGCCTGAGACATGATCCGCTTGACAGTGGGCTGGTGTCAGGTGGGGCGGTGTGGACTTGGTCATAGATCGTTGTCAGGACAGACGTCCCTCCTCAACGACCTGGAGAAATTTCCTCAGTTAGACAGCCGATGCGCATCCGATGGCGCAAATTACAGCTGCCAAAGAATCATCGCAGTAGATAAAACCGCCTAAGATTACCGACAGACGAGGGCTAAAAAGCTGTCGGCGGAGTCGGGCGTATCTCAGAGGATTTATTTGTAGATAGCTATAGCTGCTAATCACGGCCCCAGCTCCACAACGTTGTTTGCATTATTATCTACATGCGAAGAGCAGTGGAATATATGTATGTGCCAAAGTGAAGGGAGTCGTTCACTGGGGGGGTTTAATATAGTCATGGGCGCAGATATCATAATATGGCTTACTTTGTTTTATGCGTGGTTTGCTAATGCCGCCTGTGTGGCTGCATCCGAACCGCATATCACCGTGACCTAAATCGCCGCCACCCTCATCGGTCGCTAAGATATGTGACGGCTCCGATTGTCCCTCGACGTGGCTGTCCCCGACAAGAAGTCCCGTCAAAACATATAGAGGGCAGTCGGTGGGCATCCTGGTTTCTGCTTTGCCGCATGGCCGTCGCCCTCTGTCTCAACGGCCTCAGCGTCCCGGTTGTTCGACATGGGTTGCTACCTCAAACTTTGGTTCCGACATTCGCACGCCCAACTTATGCTCGTGCATTCGCGTTTGCAGCACACAACTTTCTAGTCTCCAAAAATGGGTTAATTAAGGAATAGAAAGATCTCATTTCGCTGTCGCACCTAGTAAGGGTAAGGGTTATGCTTAAAGGTTGGTGGTTGGGGCTAGGTGCTAAAGTTAGGGGTTAAGGTTAATGGTTAGGTCCATGGGTTGGTGGGTTAGGGTTTAGTGGTAAAATCTCCATTACCCCAGTTTCCGTAAAAAAGTGGCTGGGCCTAGTGTACAGCAGGTGAGGCTATGAAACAAGATGCCTTCGAAGTAGCTACTCGAAAAGTCAGACCTTTTACAAACCTCTCCTAGTGAACGCCTCCGCACCTTGTGATTTACCACCTGGGGATCACATTCTTAATACTATAGGTATGTATGTACATCTTGACATCTTGTCAACGTTCGGAATGAGAAGATTAATCTTCCCTACACCTAACTCAGAATGGACCGCTGGCCCATACCTTTGTCTTTGCTTGCGAATAGGAAGTCAGTCTATCGCAGCGTGTGACAAGCGTGAAGAACATGGTTGCATCCAACTATCACGCCCAGTGACTCACCATCCTGTAGTTGATAGGCTTATCAGTCATGCTGTGGACACAAACCCATTTTAATAACGGCATTTTGGTCAAATTAAAAGCTCAAATTCATTCACGTCAATAACACCCAACTTGTCCGGATGCGTTCAAAACATGTGTCAACAATTAATGCAAAGTGTAGAAGAATAAAGATTGTCCTGTTGTACTTTTTATTGAAGGCAACTGCAAACTTTGAATGGCGCATCCAATGAGACGGAATTTTAGTTGCTGTATAAAAACACAACCATAACCAGAAATACTGTAATAAACAGGCTGCATTTGACGGTTTGCAATGACCCTGATGTTTTGCTCATTTTGGGCCATTTGAGAAAATGTGTGGGATACATCAAGATGGGTGCGTTGTCATAGGCCAGAAATTGGTACGTTCCTTTTTTCCCAGCGTCATCTGTCAGTGAAAAGACTAGGTTCTCCGTCTCCACACGTCCTGTTACTCGCATGATCTTATAGTTCACACCGTCGGCTTGTTCTTAAATGGAAAGTGAAATGAATCAGCTCCGTCAGATCTTGAGCATAGCAACATGGAACGCAACGTACCAAAGGGGATAATTATTTTCAGCCCCTTCCTGCCTGAGGACGCCCCATATCTGGTAATATTTCCCAGTAGCACGATATCCTTGAAATAGGAAATTTGGTTCACTTAGATTGTTGCATTTCAATCAGGATTTTGGCAGATAAATATATCAGGCAAATGGAAATCTACAACTATTACAGTATAAATGAAAAAATTGTGGTCTTTTAGTACCTTTATATTTTCATCCATGACCACGGCAATTGGTCTCGAATAGCCCAGTTGTGAGACAATGGGTTTTATGTAATGGACACCGTGGAGCTCTGACAAGATAAGAGAAATGCGAGTTGTGAACTTGAAAATGTTTGAGTTACATTTTCATGCTATATCGTTTATTGCTGAATATTAGATTTCACGACATATTTTAAAAGTAAAACCTTTTGCACATATACCTGGGAAGAATTCCCCTTCGTTTACTACGACGATCGCAACGTTTGCCTTTTCGGGATTTTCGGGTGTGAGAATAACCACAGAGTAGTTCTCGTAAGTTCCGTCTTTGATCAGAAAACTCCTTCTTCCTTTTTTTAGAAAAAAAATCAATTAACCAATTAGCTATCTTTAATATTTGAAATCAAAATTTGCAGACAACCATAAGTGATCTGACCATCTATTCAAAAAACCCGCATTTAATGGTCTTTGTTTCGTGGGTGTGTTTGTGTTTGCGAATTTGAAGTGACAAATTGTAAAAGACTCAACAACTCACTGGGATAGAATTCTACACATTTAGTCGGCGGTTCGCAGGGATGCCCTCCTGTTCGACGCACAAATCCTGATTCGGAAGAATTGAACTGCACGGAGAAAAGCACAGGAATATTTCGAATTTCCATTTTTTAATAAAACAAATTTTGACATGAACATACCCGGAAGGATGTCGGCACCTCGTAAGCAATGTCGATGTTGGTATGCCGCTTAGCAGCTAGCAAAAATCCAGCTGCAAATGGGGAGGGGATTGTCAGAAATTGTCGACCTACAGCAACTACAGAATTGTACATTGAGCAAGATCAGGGCTATAGACACAGTCGAGAGGATCATTGAATTACGGATCGTGCAGACTATGTGCCGTAGCTGAGGTAGAATTAACTGTTCTTGCCTCATTTAGCGTACCTATGAATTTATTTATACCATGCCAATGAAGGATCTATCTCACCATCCAACAGGTGTCGTCGCCCTCGAGCATCAGACTGTTTTCGTTTAGAGTTATGTTTTTGTATTGTACATTATTTTGACAGTAGTTTTGCTCCATTTTGTGATTCCGCTGGCGTCGGCCTTACAGGTTTTAATGCAAGTAGGCATTTCTCTGATTCGCTGCCTCGCGCACATGCATAGGAGCTCTTTTTTCATGTTTTGTTCAGGAAAACTTCGCACAAGTTTCTGCGCCTTCATCTTGGTTCAAAATGTTTTTGGAGATGAACTGATGAGAGATGGCATGTCACATGCTTTATCTAGCAGTTAAGATTGTTGGCTGTTTTCACAGGTCTTGAGTCCCTCTTGTGCAATCTGTTTCGATTTTGCCTTGGGCTTTTGGTATGCTTATTTTGACAAGGTTTTAAGGGCTTGCGTTATGGGCTTATGGCCTAGGGTCAAGGTTGCGGTTACACTTAAGCTTTCCTTAAAGGCTTTTTGGCTAACGATTAGGGTTACCTATTACAGCCATGGCCATAGTTGGCTTTAGCACCATAGCTAACCAAGGTTTTCCCAGGGATTTACATACTATACCACCTGCCGGCAGATGCAGTATTACATGATTTGCAATAAAATGTACTCAAGAAATGCAGCGATGGCGAAAACGCGAAAATCTCCGGTAAATGATTAGATTCAGTTCTCAGAAATACATAATGCCTGTTTTCGTGATTTGATTTGTATGATGACATTTGCCGTTATGTTATCTAGTATTACCTGGAAAGTACAAACGGCCATGCAAAATGTGCCAGGTTATAACCATACTTGTCTTACACTTGCTACCTTTAGATAATTACGTGCCTAGTGACGTTTGTTATACAGACACACTTGACCGTAGGTTTTACAATTTCGAACTTCAATAATACAGCCTATATTTTCTCAAAGTCACAGTCTAGGCAAAACAATATAATGACTGAGTAACGAAACGCATTAAATTTATTGTCAACTGCTATACTTCGTAGCAGGAAACTCTGGCGAGGACGCAATATGCTACCTCAGGTACGACAACATTTACAACTACCTACTCATTATGTGAAAGTAGGGGCGTTCAGTTTCGTTTGTTGTGTTCGGCAGTCTGCCTGGGTCTGAGCCCATACTCCACTCCTGACGGCGTAGGTTCCGACTCAAAAGGGGTTTTAAATGGCATCTCTGGTTACAAATTGTTCCGACTTGAGATCCGTCGGTCGGTTACCGGGGTTCCTTGGCGATAACTTCCTACATGAACTTAAGCTTCGAGTCAGCCCATTGCACATTTATACAGAAACCTTCGGTAAACGTCCACTATCAATGGGTTTTGCACTGTTAGGTATAAGCCCGCTGTCGGTTACTCGGTTTTCACGGCAGATGTGCAGTCTAGGACAGCTTACTTCGGGTCAAGCCATCGGGTCCTCATACGGAAAATATGGCTGCAAATCTGTTAATTTGTAAGAGCAATTTATAATTTGTACATTCAATGCAAAGTAAAATTTCCCTTCGCAAGTCAATGTGAATTCTGCATCCTCAGAATGACTTCATGATTTAGTTTTTACAACACATTAGAGAGGCATGCTAGAACAAACCCGAAATTGGCTGACCTGGTGCATTCCGAAAAACGTTCTCAGACCTTTACTCTTATTGTTTGGGAACAGCAGAAATAACATTTAAATTCATATGGATAGGGTCCTAGGTGTTCCTTGCCTTTAACATTCAGGCAGTTATTACATAGACACATATAATTAGAAGAGTAAATCTTGCAGAAATCGCCAATAACTCCTTAAGTCTCTACATTTTGCAATATTCACAAGGCTAAGAGGGCATTAACATTCGCGTTTCTCAGCGTAATAACTCACGAAAAACTAGGATTAGCAGGCCAAAGCACTGACTATAAAAGAGAAGCAAACGCGACTGCTTCATTGCGTAGGCAGGAGCTGTCGTCGTTAAGGCGAGTCAGCAACGTGGAAATGCGCGAGGCTTGGCTGGCGCGCAAAGGCTGCCTTGTAGCATCCCAAAAACCTGTGTTTGCTCTATTTCTTAAAAATTGGAGTTGAAAACAGAGCTGTCCTGCCATGACGAGCCAAGGTTTGTGTTTTGGAAGGAGAGATGATGCGGGCAGCAGTGCATATGGGGTACAAAGGAAATGCAAACATGTCCAGACGTACAGTAGATGTGCTAACTCATGAAATGTCAACTAAAATTTCGAACTGCGTTCTCGTTTCGAAAAGATGAATTAAGTAGAGTTGTAAAACTAATCATGATGCAGCATAAATCTGTAATGCTCCAGTTACCTCAGGGTGTCGGCTTCCGAAAAAACTTATTTTCGGCTGCATGCAAGATCAATGCTCTGCAAAAAATGGCTACTTAATTAGCGTGCAATTTTCTCATTGATTTTCGATGCCCTTGAAAAGTCAATTATATTTCATGTAAAACATGCATAAAAATATTCATTTCTTTACTTATTCGGTAGAAAATCACGTCTTCTAGGGATTTCATACTCAAAAGAAGAGTATAATTTGGTTTTAAAAAAACTTTTCTAATTCCCGAATAATTTTGAACCGGACCTGCTGTTACACTTGCATTCAGGGTTTCAAAACTACAAGCTGTATATTTTCCGTGTACGGAAAACCATGCATTTCTCTATGGTGTTAAGAGGAGGCCATATGAGGTTCATAAAATTAAGCAGTGGATTTGAGCAATATTGCTAACTTTACAAGCCACTTTCGTAAATGCAGATACATGACGTTTCATGAACGGCCATCTAACGATATTAAAAAAACTCACAATTAGGAACTTTTTTAAACCGAATAAGTAAAAGAATGAATATTTTTATACATGCTTTCCATGAAATATAATTGAATGTTCAAGGACATCGAAAATCAATGAGAAAATTGCATACTACTTAAGTAGTCATTTTTTCGTAGTTTAGATCTTGCATGCAGCCTAAAATAAGTTCCTTCTAAAGCGGACACGCTGAGGTAACTGGATCATTATAGAATTATGCTGCATCATGCTCAGTTTTACAACACTACTTAGTTTATCTTTTCGAAACGCGAACGCATTTCGAAATTTTAGTTGACATTTCATGAGTTAGCACATCTAAAGTATTATTGACAACGTGGCATATTTGCATACCGACTAACTTCTCAATCTTTGAAAAAGTGGGAAACTAACATTATTAGCGAAAATGACGATAGCTTTTTGCACACACACTGGAGACGCTTTGATTGAGCTGAACGATTTAGCTCTTCGTTTTATCGAAACATTAGTTTTTCAAAACCCATGAGCATTTCTTGAAGGACCAAATATAGATTCGCGAGATGTCTCCAAGTATTAATGCAGCATGGTGACGTTGGTTTGTCCATTGGGTGTAGTAGGCAAAATTACCAATGAAAGTAAACGAGCGAGTAGCAGGAAGCATTTCAGAAGTAGATGAAATCACAGTAACAAGAAGTTCATTGGCATGGCATCACAGATACTTACGCCAACTCATCGTCACGGACAGTTGCAGACAAAGGTAATCGAGGCAGTAGAAGTGCAGTATATCTAGGAGGTAGTTGCCGTGGTACCACATGCTACCTATGGTTATCAACTCTCGAAATCACCGCTGGGGCGTCCAATCGATGTCATGGTAAATTGCCGGTCAGCGCCCGAGTCCTTAACTTCTGCCCTTTTCATCATCCGTGTTAGATGTTGGTGTGATGATTACTCGGCAATTTGACCCGATGCCACCGCAATCGTTGCTCGTCTGCGGCCTCCACTCGTGATTGATTCCCCTGCTCAGGGAACATCTCATGACAGCTTATGGTAAAGGGAGGTAATCACGCTTGTTGATGGACTGCGGGCCTGAGAACCATGAGTCCAACAGCTCTGGGGCCACGCGGCTGCCCCTTGAAACTTGAAAGTGTGGCCTGATGCCGTCTTTTCACCTTACTCTTGCCACGTGCCCCACCAATCGTCTCCACAGTCATCTCCGCTACTGCACCGGACGCGGTAAACGACGTCAAACGCTTCCTGTCTTGACAACTGGTCATTCGGCATCATGACTTGGCGTCTGAACGTGGCCTTCGGCGTAAACCCAACTCTGAGTGCAGTACGAAGGAGACGGGCGACTTCCGTGGAATTCTTCAAGCACAGAAGAACAGGCCCAAACGTACTGCCAGTTAGATATGGCCGCCCGTGTTAGTTATATTACGCATGCCGTCCCACGCAGTGATTGTCTCTGATAATGGGATCGAATGAAAATTCGAAACACCCGACCAGTATACCTGTTCCTGCCGTTGTATCTTCTTCTTCTTCTTCTGGTTCTAGGAAAAGCTCCTTAACACATTCGACAAATGTGACCGCTAGCTCTGACGTCCTATCCCTGTCTGTAGACTAAGGCTCGCCGCAGCATTCTGACTAGTCGAGTAAACTTCGTTTGATCCTGACTTTAAATATGAGACATTGTGAGGTCACACTGCGACAACGCCGGTGTTTTTGATGACAATTGGCTTTATTACTGGTCTTGAAGGCAGAGTTTGTGTCCATACCTGAACATAGTATCTATTTCATGACGTCTACATGAACTGTCTTCCTACGAGAAAAACGACTCAATAATTACCTATTGCATGCAAGGTGTAAGGAAAACTTTCACTCCAATTGTGGACTGCAGTCGTGGACATTCCTCTTTTGAAGTCCCGCATGTGCTTTGCACTAGATTTGCAGCCCACGTCTTCCTCCCCCTCATTGCTTTCCCTACTCAGGGAACGTCTTAGCACCGTTTGTGGTAATGCGAGGTCATTGCGCTTGTTAATGGACTGTTGGCCTGAGACCCATGACTCGAGCAGCTCGCGGCCAACGCAGTTACCTATAACAAGGAGTACGGCCTCTTGAAACTT